TTTGCTAGGAAGCAAAAGCGCTTTTGGCGCGGATATTGGATAGAGTCGGTCAATATGTTGGATGTCGGAATATCCGACTTTGTAGACATTGTAAGTGTCGAGGACAATAGTCCTGGGCGAGGCCCAATGACTGTCGATAGTGTTGCTGAGAACCCACTAGATGGCACAGATATGACATGTGTCATGAGAATGATGTTACATCATTAAACACCGTGAGTGGTGTTGGTGGATGCAAGCCAAGATGTCAGGACATGAGTCCAAGTGACATGAGTGACGAGGAACTGGATCTGGAGGGCCGGGTGAAGTCACAAATGGATGTTGTCTCTGAGGACAACGAGGTGCATGCACCTAATGACGAGTTACTGACCCTAAAGGGTCGAGTGAAGTCATCAATTGATGTTGTCTTTGAGGATAACGAGATGCAAGCACCTAGTGACGAGTTTCTGGTCCAAGAGGGTCGGGTGAAGTCAAAAATGACGGTTGTCTTTGCGGACAACGAGGTGCATGCACCTCACGACGAGGCATTGACCCAAGAGGGTAGGGCGTAGTCAGTAAACGAAGTGGTCTTTAACCTTGAAGTGTGTACACCTGTGGACGCTGATGCGTCGGATGCTGAGAGCATCATGAGTAGCGATGATAATATCGTGAGTGACGGTGATAGCGAACAGCTATATACACTCGTAAATGATTTGACTGGGGATGTTGAAGAGCCGGTGGCTCTTTCAGCAATACCCGCAGTAAGGGCTATGCTAGATCTGGACGAGTTGTCCTTTGCCGAGTTTGTCAGTGCCTTACAGGCAGGCTACATCGTCGAAGTGGTCGTTATACGACCTGAGGAGGAGTTGAACTCCTCATCGCTTTGTATAAAGCAGTTCTTGAGGATACCAAGAAGGCGCTGAATGCGCGTAGTGGATCGCAGATCCTGATGGACCCTTCGGGTCCTTGCTTTACTTTGTTGAAGGAATATGGAGATGTTGTCTCTAGAGAACCTCCTACGAGGTTACCTTCGGATAGAGTTGTACGTCATGAGATTGACTTGGTTTCAGGAACCAAGTATTGAGTGACGCCTCAGTGGCCGCTGCCACGAGAACAATGTGACGTCATTGACGAGTTCTTTCGTGCAAAGCACGCGGCTGGCAGGGTGCGTGAGAGCAAGTCTCCTCACTCTACGCCCACGTTTTTGTGTGAGAAAGCCTAATGGGAAGTGGCAAATAGTGCATGGTTATATGAAGCTGAATGCAGCCACTACCCCGGCTCAAACACCGATTCCTCGCAAGGATGTTGTTACAAACAATATAGTGTGATGTACAATGTACAGTGCCCTCGACTTAGTCGATGAATATACCAACTGCTCATGCGAGCTAGTGATATCCCGCTGACAGCGGTCAGCACTCCGAGCGGTATGCTCTGGGAGTGGTTAGTGATGCCACAAGGGCTTTCTAACGCACCTGAAACGTTTAATTGTCTAGTGACGCAGTTGTTTCGGCCCCATACGGCGTATGCACAGACATACTTTGACGATATATTCGTCCATAGTCGAGCCGAAAATGGCAAGACTGATGTGGAGAACTACATCAAGCACCTGCGAGCTGTGATCGGTTGCATGAGGATGCATAAGTTATATGCCAATATTGACAAATTCATCTTCGGTGCGGAAGAGATTCCTTTTTGGGATGCTTCATTGGGAAGCGAGGAATCCGGGCAGACCCTATTAAGGTCAAAGTCATAGTGGATTGGCCGGTTCCGAGGAGCCAGAAGGACCTCCGCAAGTGGTTGGGTTTGGCAAATTACCTGCACAAGTATAGCCACAACTATGCGGAAGTGGCTAGGCCATTGTCGAACCTCCTTAAAAAGGATGTAAAATGGTGTTGGAACACCAAGCACCACGAGGCTTTTGTAGCCATTTAGGAAAGTCTCCTTCAGGTGCCAATTCTGGCTCTGACTGATCCTGATCGCCCGTTTAGCGTCGTATGTGACGCTTCGGAATTTGCCATTGGCAGTGCACTTTTGCAAGTTGACTCGGAGGGTTGAGAACGCGTCATCGCGTTTGAGTCTCGCCAGCTAAAAGCTGCAGAGAAGAACTATCCAGTTCATGACAAGGAGCTACTTGCGATGAAGTATGCCCTTGTTAAGTTTAGATTATACCTGTTGGGCTCAAAGCCATTCGAGATCTCTACCGATCATGCGTCGTTACGCACAGCGACACAGTCGCCTCATCTCTCGCAGAGAATGGCTCGTTGGCTCTCCTTTTTCGCCGAGTATAACGTAGTTGAAGTATAAGCCGGAAAACAGAATGTTTTGGCTGACGCGTTATCGCGTAGACCTGACTATGAGCTTGCTCATCTCACTGTTGTGAGTTCGTCAGTAACGGATCGTATCCGTGTGGCGTATGCACGCGATGAGGCATGTGTTGCCATTCTGCAGGCTCTGGGTAGCGCAGAGCTTGAAAACTCTAAGGTGAAGTTGTCACCACGTAATCGTGCGAGATTACATCGTTATGCACTGACCGATGGTCTGTTGTACTATAGTACAGGATCGGATGACCAGCCTCGCGTTGTGGTGCCTCATGATGAGGACCTCAAGTATCAGATACCTTATGAGGCTCATGATACACCACTTTGTGGTCGTTTAGGTCGTGAGAAGACCTACAGCTCGGTGAGCCCCATTATTGGTGGCCCAAGTTGTACAAATGAATTGGTACACGTTTCACACGTGCGTACCTGTGAAACGTGTCAAAGGGTGAAGCCCTAGCCTAGTATGGCTGCGCCTTTGGCGAGTTTGCCTGTAACCTCGGGGTTGTGGCAGTCCATTAGTATGGACTTTGTGTTTGGCCTACCGCGTGATGCGGCAGGCAACACTGGGATTGTGGTCTTTATTGACCTACTGAGCAAGATGGCTCATTCAGCGGTAGAGCCGGACTCCATTGATGAAAAGGAAATGCTAAGCTGGTCATGTATCGTGTGTTTCGACAGCACGGATTGCCTGTGGCAATCGTCTTTGATAGAGACCCCCCTTTTACGGGTAATTTTTGGACGTCAGTCTTTAAAGTTCTTGGCACTCGACTGGACATGTCCACGGCGGATCATCCGCAGACCGATGGTCAGATTGAACGCGTCAACCGCGTTATTGGCGATATGCTTCGCAGTGTTGGTTCTGAAACACCCAAAAAATGGAGCAAGATGCTATCACTCATTGAGTTTGCGCTAAATAACGTAGTGCATGCCTCGACAGGCTTTACCCCATTCTATATAAATGGTTTGGTCAACTCTCGCGTTCCGTTCACGCTACCCCTGCCACATCAGGGCTTAGTACTGTAATTTTACCGTTTCCCCGCGGAAGGTTTGCTCATGGGGCGTCAGCCCTTCGAGGTCAAACATGACTTTCTTGCAGGGCATTTTGCCATCAAATGGCCTGTGCTCTTGCAGATAAAACATCTGCGCACATCTTTTTGCTGCCCCGCAGCTGGTCTCGGCATTCCATGCCACCCCCAACAGCTTTCTCGAATGAGGACGGGTTTACTCGGAAGACTTCCGTTCTGGCAACGCCAACTCGGAGGCCCTCCATATGATGGTCACTACCTCAGGAATAGGGTCTATGACCATGGCAGCTATGAGAGTTCTCTTGTACATATGCCGCTAGCTCACGCTTGCCTTGGTGACATGCCACAAACCGCGACCGATTACGGTGTGCTTGGTTTGACGGTGCATACTGCCGGGTCATCTGATTTTCTAGATCGGCCCATGTTGGGAGCACATCTTGCAGTGATGCACCGCATGTTAATGCCCACTGTTTGGCTAAGCCACCTAACTTGCCCGTGGCAAAACCCACACGGTACAGTTCATAGGTGATGTCAGCTATAAACATAGCCCACTCAACCTGTCGGAACCAAAGCATAAGTTTGTCACCTTCCTTGCCGTCGAACTTATCGACTTCCATTTGTATGGATTTTGGTCTGAGGTCCACTTCTCGCCACGGGCGAAGGCGCAGAAGAAGGCATCTGTGCCTTTACATGCTCGACTAGAGCTTTGTTATATTTATCAAGCATATGAATACGCTTGTTAACCTCTTCTTCGCCCTGGGCGATGAGGTACTCTACGCCCTTAGGGCCAAGGATAGAAAGCAGCTTCTGCATGCCTGTGACAGTCCAACCGCTGACATCTCATCGATGTCCATTCTCACACAGAGAAGAAGTCGCAAACCCAGGTGCGGGATTGACTACAAGTGCTACCAGGTGTAGCCGAGTCACTGTAGCTACGCTACTTGTGCACTATGTGCAGGTGCACTATGAGCAGAAGAAGTAGTCAAACTATTGTAGCAAAGCTACTTATGCACTATGTGCAGAGGAAGACAAGATCAAAGAGATTATATGTCTTAGGGTGTTTAACCCTCCTAGGCCAGCTTGTAAGCTTGTGCCTATCGGTATTAACCGAGTCTCAGAGAGAATAGTATCAAAGATACAATTTCTATACGCTCAAGCTGTAAGGCTTACAGAGCAGGTTTGAAACTGATTTATATTTATGTTTATTTTCTAACACTAAATAGAACACCCACTCTATACTTATGGCTAGTCACTATTTACTGGCTCTATAGCCTGTTATTATTATGCAAACATGTATAGTCACTATACTTAACTAAGTGTAGTGACCACGTGGCTCTCTGCCACCCTTCGTACTTCAGGTACGGTCAACTTTTGTACCCAAAGTACAGCCACACCACATTGGTGTGGCAGGTGTGTATGTAAAATACACACCTTCGAGTAACCCATTACAAATGCTATACAAAGCAGATTTAAAATTGATTTTTTTATGAATATCTTCTAGTACTGAATACATAATTTAAAAAACAAATTCGATCAACTGTGAAAAATGTATTAAATGTGTGACCCTAGAGCAACAACACAATATGCTCTTGTGCGTCTCTCATTAACTAGCTCGAAGAAGCTGATGGGGTTACAAACACACAGCCGCGGTCTGCGGTGATTTACCTCTTGCGACACGTGATCATCGAAAGCATTCCTTCGCACAGTACCCTGAAGAAAACGATCCTGGATTGCATGAAAAACCGGGATAGAATTGTGTTGAACATTGACAACGATAATAGCAATTCGTGATTCGCACATTGTAATCAAAACTATTGCAGGAAATTTGACAAGGTACACTTGTACATTGCACATACTGGCAGTCGCTATTCATCTGTAATTGACGAGAAGATGATCCCAGCAATTGACCATTTGATTCATGCAATTTGCGCACATAATTCGCCGAGGCACTCGCGTGCGTCTCGATGTCCATCTGCCCCAGCAAGCGCTGGTATGACGGCAACAACGTCGTCTTACCGAACCATGTGCGCAACAACCGCTGTGTCGGCATCATGTCAATCACAGGTAAACGCAAGACGTGCTTTACAGCCGGCATATGCATTGACGAGTACATCCACTTGTTGAAGTTTGAGCCCATCATGAGCGTCACGTGGTCGGGCTTCAGAATAGGTTGCACGATCTGACTGTCATGCGTCATGATGAGGAGGCCTGACTCCAAGCCGTCTTTTCCGGAAGGCAAAACAGACTTAAACGTCTGATTGAGGCCGTCACCATTAACCTTGTAGTAGGTAGGCGTCGAGAACACGATAAACATACCGTCGTTTTCGTGCAGCTCGAGCGCAAAGTCATTAGCGGTCGAGGCGCTCGTATTGGTACTTGAGGACGCGCTGACGGACGTGCGCTCCTTTGACGAAGGCGTCTCGTAGGCGTGAAAGTGGTCGAGACGGACAGCATCCGTCATGAGTTGATGACTCGAGACAGTTTGACCGTAGCTATCCTTCATAGTAAAGTCAGTGGCATCGAGCGTCGTACCCACGCTGAGCACCACCATCTCAAGCAGCGATGAGAACTGGGTGTAAATATCCTTGTAACCCGGGCATGTCGTATCTGTGGTAATGGCAGCAGCGTTGGCATCCTGACCCGATGTTGCGCTGATGACGTAGCGCTTTGCACCATCCGTGAGTGTCTTGTGGTGGAGGAAATTGGGGTTGGCGTCTTGAGCCGAAACGGCACATGCAGCGGCCATGTTATGATAGGAGTCGCGTATCTGGGAGTAGGACGGCACGTTGCTAAAACTAATGATTCCGTCTTTCTTGAGCGCGTCGAGTACTTTATAGGGCGTGTTTCCAGTGGTGAGGGTTTCATAGTTGAAGACGGGGACATGGAATGACGGCACTTCCTCTGCGAGGTCAATGGCTAAATTGCTTGCCATTGGCATGATAGCTAGACCGAGGAACATGCTCGTAGGTATGACCATGTCGACGTTTGATAGTGAATGTTGCTGATATACTGTGTTGTTGAAGGCAAATCTAAAAGTGACAAGGATAATGGCGCCGTGAGTACCAACTTGTTTGCCGCGTTAAGAGTTGAATGTGAGACTAATTAGCTCGCAAATTACGGCTTCGAATTAGGGAGATTTTTGCGAGGTGATAAGAAATAAACTTGTCTGCGAAACTACCAATGACCCAGCACGCGTTTTACTGATGCGTACCATCGCCTCACAAAAACATGACGCAAGAGGCGAGAGTAGCAAGGACTGCAATGACTTCTTTCTGGTGCCGTGGCCGTGAACGTGGCCGACGAGTCGAGCGTGGTCGTGCTCTTGGGTCGCAAAACGTTCAACAAGAATATTCTATTCGCGCGGTAGGAAGCCAACCGTCATCTTATATCCTACTGTCAAACAGTCTGTGGGTTGTACTTGGGTTCAAATGATCTGTTTATCACACAATGGCTTGTATTTATAAGCCATATGTCCACATCGTCTTCCTGGTTCAGTCATTTCAATAGAAGTAAACACTTCTATTAGTAGTAACGTCCCTGTCGAAGAAATTGTCTCAATTGTATGCGTTTGGACTTGATTACGTCGATAAGTCCGGACAAATCAGTTTTAAGGACCAAGGATTCATGCAGTGCATCCGCTATGTTTTCGGATTGGCCATAAAATTGCGGTGACAAGGGATAATAGAGTACCGTCTCGCCGTCGTGGACGAACGACCTCAGTGGGGAAGCACATGAGCTTAAAGATACTGGACAGTTTTACAATCGATTTTTTTTTTTGCATTCAAAGGCATTAAGTTCTCTTATCCTAGCGGCTGTACCGTATAACCTGCGCATGGTAAACAAGTATAGAATGGCTCCCTAGACAACACAAACGAAATATTGTCTTATACTGTGTAGTAAAGAGTAATGAATGGTACATATATGTACAATTCTCGTGCCGAGATACGGTATAGAAGAAGTGCTAACCAAAAGGAATTTTATAAGCTTAGTACCAAGATTGTTAGCCACTGTATCTTTGGTTTTGTTTACAAACTACTGTAATCTTGTGGATAGGGGTTCAATAACAATCCAACTTGTGGATGCTTTTCATATCCTTTGCAGTTAGCCGCCTATTCCCGCAAACACTCTCATCATATTCCAAGGTTGCAGCTGAACCCTTCTTGGGCGCATTTTATCCAGTACCGTACAATGACACGCGTGGCTTCATCTTAGTGGCTTCATCTTAGTGGCTTCATATTTATGACCTTTGTTGATAAACTAGACTCCTGGTAGTCGCATAGCGATCTAAAAGGAATGTAAGGCGTCATCAAATGGCTTCACGGTGTACGCAACAGCAGACCGTATTTGATGACGTTCTCAGGTACTACTTATAAAGAATGCACTTGCACGTAGGGAATTGGTGGACTGTGTTGGTGGAGGAGGACTTGAGATCATGTGCTACATCCAAGCGGTCGTTGTTAGACTAGACCAGGATGTGTTCCGCATAACAATGTCTTAAGGTAGTGTGGAATATAATGCGTAAGCTAGTGGTGAAGGTTTTACACTGAAGAATAGCCGCAGTTTAGTACTGTAACATACGACAATGACCGCGTTGTTGACTCGTAGAAAAGCTGACACCTCGATGCATGATCCATATCGTGAACGAATACCAGAGCCAGGACGGCACTCATCGTTCATCGTATCTACGTTGCGGCCATATTCCTACCTGATCGTGCCAAAGCCGTTCCCCCGCCCTCTCAAGAATCACACCTCTTGACGCAGGAGCCATACTTATGTACTAAAGCGCGGACGTGACGCACACGCAAGAGATCACCAACTTCTATTTAGTGCATCAGTCGATAGACAACCTTTGAAACGAAGGCATTTGCAGCAAACGGTTGTTACGCATAAGAAAACGGAGAAACTACGCCAGCTTTCCCCGGCAGCACGCAGCAGACAACTGCATCAACAATGGCAACGTCAGCTTTCCCGCTTCGCAAGCCCAATGTGTAGTCGTGTTTGCCTGATCCAGTCGTACGCGGGCATCTGAAAGAAGCGGTTTGAGGCCGATTACCACATTTGACGGGACAAATTGTCCGACATAGCTCAACCACATCGTGAGTCGGCCGAAGAAGACAGTGTGAGTACAGTTGTCTCGCCTTTGCGTGGGTCCATCTCGTCCTGCTTTATTAAGTTTTTTTCGTCTTTTGTGCAGATTCAATCGGAGTGTCACGAATGCCACTATGATGTCAACTGCAAGTGCTTCAGCTCCATCACTAGTTCCTTATCTGCTACAGCGTCAGCATATGCGTGGTCAGATCGAGAAAACTGCATGGAGACCTGAACGATCCACATGCACTTCTGAAGGCAACTTTGCGCTCTTTACTCTTTGACTCTATTTTCTCTCCATATGAATGCTGCGCCGACTGGGGCGCCGTTATCACCACCGTTCTTGCCGCGGGACAGCCAGCCCACGATGACGTCGACGGACTGCCGTCAAGCGAACAGGAGGTCTCCAGCGGGACAAGCCTCCGTTGGGAAAGCGTCCGCTATTCGGGCGCGTCAAATACCGTTGCAGACAGAAATTTTCTGGGGCAAGTGAGCGCTAGCAGGTACCGTGGGCAACCGATCCCATGCTTCCTAATGCGTCAAGTACGTCCTCCTCGTTTAGGTATTACTTGCGTCGAATAGGTCATCCTATTTCCAAATAAAAATAATATGATTCTTAAGGAAGAAGGCCGAAAAACGAGCTAGGCCCATAATCTGATTAGCTACCGCCATGAGAGCAGGCATCATGTACCATTCGCTTGATGCCGACTAATGACAGATGGTAGCCGCCAGTACTTCTAATTCAGTAGCGGGAGCCATAAGTTCCGCAGTTGTTCCTCTTTACTTTACGTGCAGTTCGTATCGTGACAAAATGGGCGAGAGAGCCCAGAGAAACTGTACGATGACTGGTTTTTCGACAATAGGCTGTCCTATACTAGCGTTTTTTAGCAATACTCGTACCCGATTTTAATGGCTGATTATAAGTTGCACGGACTTTGGAGACAAGGTGATTACGTTTCCAGTTCGATACCAGATTGTATTACCTCCGCAGCGGCTCCAAATTCTGTTTGAACTGATTACCTTGTCAGACCAAAGTCTATTCAAGCTGAATACCTTGTCACGCATTCGTTTGTAAGTCGGTCCGGTTGGATTCATTGCATCCGCGCCGCCAAATCACACCGTTTCCGTGCCTCAGATTTTGTGGCTTTTGCCCGCTGCGTTTTGTCGATCGCCCCGACCAGTCAAAATTACACACTGTACCAATGTTGTCATATTAGGATGGTGCAGCTACCCCACACCCGACCTGAGTCTGGTGAAGGTTTACCAAAATCTCTGTAACAACCTAATCCATTTTCCCTGACCGTACGCGACCGTAGGCCCGTGGAGGCTGCGATGGTTTTCCTGCAGCGGCGATGTAAGATCACTTCCTATAATCGATATCCTCAGGCGGCAGGGACGGCCACGCCCATTGGACTTGATCTCTCGAGTACCTGCAACGTAAAAATCGGTCGACACCCACTAGCTACGTTAGTAACTAGGCTGATCGCGGAGATTAGCTACCAGATCGTCCAGAAAGGGCTCAATCAGATCGGCAACACCGACAGGACAACGCTAAGGGCACCATGAGCCAGCCAGCGGCGGACTATGAGGCCAACTCGATATTCTCCCCCCGAGTCGATTAAGATGTGGATTTTGACATCAGTTGAAGTCATCAATCAAGACATTCGGATGGTATTGTGCCCTAACTTTGAAATGTTGATGATAAGAATGCTCATGTTTTGAACGGGTGTATAGCGCATCATGTTGACCAAGACCTCCCGGTGTAATAACAAAACGCGATTTGACGTGAATGACCCATGGCCAAATCAGGCGAGAGCAAGATCGCGAGTCCAGCAGAGCTCGCCTTAATGCACTTTATGGCATGAGGTCCAGCCCAGTAGTTTCCTTTATCCTCCAGCTCAGGTGCCACTTTCCAGTGGAAAGCGTGAGTTATCTGGACCTTGTCATGCTGGCGTCCATTTTTCTCGAATATGTATCTGTCAACATTTTTCGTAACAAGGCGCTGTCGACCATCGGCAGATCCTAGTCCCGCAGTAAAAGACCAGAGTATCTATCGTGTCTTGCTAGAGTCGCCCAAAGGTGTAACGGGGTTACACGACGGTTTGTATTTTAAATACAACATTAGTGTGGCTGTATCGCTGTGACCGTACCTAAGGTACGAAGGGTCGCATCGTGGCAGAGAGCCACGCGGTCACTATACTTCGTTAAGTAAAGTGACTACACATATTTAAGTATAGTGACCATACATGTTTGCATTATAATAATAGGCTATTGTGGTGAAGCGTGTCAAGAATTGGTAGGTCAGAGGACCGGTGGGGCAAAGAGAAGAGGACCCACCAAGGAGGAGCGACCGTTGGGTAAAAGAAAGAATAACTGGGCACTAAAAAAGGGACGGGGAACGACCGTTGGATGAGAATAATGTGCAGTCAAAGCGCCATTCAGGGGAGTCAACCGCGATTAGCTCGATGGACCGCAGTTCCTCGAAGTGGACCCTGGTCTATAATTGATAGACCTCAATTTTTCATAAAAGTAGACCCTGGCCCTTCGGTCGGCAAACCTTCGGCCCCTTTCCCTAAAGGTCGACCTTGTTCCTGCATCAAAGGACCTCGGCCCCTAAACCCCTGGCCCCTGGGCTCTCGGCCCCTAGGTCCCTGGGCTCTCGGCTCCTCGGCCCCACGGTCACTAGCCTCTCGGTTCCTCGGTCCCTAGACTCTCGGCCTCCCTGGGCTTTCGCCTCCCTGGACTCTCGGCCTCCCTGGACTCTCGGCCTCCTTGGACTCTTGGTCACTCGGACTCTCGGCCTCCCGGCCCCTCGGTCTATATACCCTAGCCAAGCAAAATCAAGATTCAGGTCTCGGGGGTAAAGATAGAGTAGAAAAATTAAAAGATAGGACTATATTAAATACTACTCAATTTGAGATCTCCATAGCACGCCTCCGTCGTGCTTCCAAGGTACTTACTAAGTCTACCCACCTGTTCCGGAAAGCGTTACATCTTGGCCTCCCCGTCGAAGACACTTGTGTGGTAAGACCCAAGTGCGAATAGAGCCCCAGGATATATTTGGCCTGTGGGTTCGTCTGAGTAGCACCCCCCCAATCAACCCGCTATTGGAAGCGGTCTCCCCACCCGAGTTGTTCGTGAGCAAGTAAAGGCCAGGCGTTTAACACCCCTGAGATATCAAGGAGAAGGAAAAGGACAGGGTTGAGAATCTCCCCTGAAAAATTCGGTTATAAGTCCACCCTCGACCTAGTCGACCGAGTGGCCACCTACCCGTCTACCGAGTGAAGTATATCCACTCGAGGCACCCCAAGGTCGACCTCTCTTAAGGCCGACATCACATCTCAACCAAGTCCTCCGAAGAGTGCAACCCTCCAGCCGACGGGTACACAAGGTGAGAGCAGGTCAATACGCGGCATCGGGGTAACCAACTCTAGAACTCGAAATGGTCCATCCCAGAGGTAGGCCAATTTCTTGGCGTACCCCTCTTTCACTCGGTCCAGGTAGAGCCACACTTATGTTCCCGGCTGAATCTTGTGGTCGACCACCCCTTTGTTATGGGCTAGGATCCGATCTTGACTGGCCGCTCGTAGGTTCTCATTCACCTGGGCTCTCGCCCGCAGGTACGTAGTTCCATCAAGTTCAATGTCATCTGGGTCGTATTCGCACGAACCGACCGATTCCATCTCCACGTCGGTCATCCCTTGTTCTCTTGCAACTTGCATGCCTGCACTTGGACCCAGCTGGGCCGTTAACCTCTAAGCCCTCTGTCGACCTCTGACCGCACTTCCATCGATGTGTGCTTGCGGTACTTGGCGTTCTTGTAAGAATCTTGCCATCGCAACGTCGTATGCCTGTAAATTACCTACCGAGTCGGTAGGCACTCCTCCCTGGGCTACTCCGTCACGTGACGAGGTGTAATTCGGTACTGGTCTTGGCTCATTTCTGATTGTTGAAATTCGACCTATCAGAAGCCAGACTTTCCCTTGGCTGTACACATGTGGCCGTTTCGTGAGCTCGCTGCTCGTCGTCCGCGCTCTCAGCTCTGGCCTGCAGCAGTGGCGTGCCCGTTGTTCCTAGTGGCATTCGGCCCACGTGACTAGTGACGGGCGACCCTCGCGACGATTGCCTTGCAGACTCCGGAGGTCCCTGAGGCAAGGTGGTCTATGATAGACCTCGTATCGACCATGGGTCCTCGTTCGACCATTGCTCTCGAGGGTGGACCTCGATGTCGTGCAGGGCCACTTGGCTGTCGTCCGACGGTGCTTTTGCGGCGGTCGCAGGAGGTGAGTCGAGTAGTACTGGGGTTGTTCTCACCAGGATACCCAGACGTTTGTGTAGGATTTATAACGTGGTCTTGATATTGTTGAACCCCAGGGAAAACAAGTCTTCAGGTTCAAACCTTCCTGCGACCATACCCACCTCGCGAAGAAGGGTCACGAGCGCGGTGATCGCGGCTGTCACCGTCCTCAGCTTGGGAAGGGTCGACACAGGCTCACTGAGCTGTCCCAGCAGTCGTATCACGAGGGCTTTGGTGACGGGGTCACTCTTCAAGAACGCGTCAAGCTTGGGTCGATGGTAGGCCATGGTCACGTCAGCATCCGACTAGGACAAGGGTCCTGAGGTCGAGGTGCCTACCGACTTGGTGTCACCTGGTGCCTTCATCCGGATCTTGGTCGGCTTGGACATGGCAATCGTATTTTTGTAGTTTTGTATAATAGTCTATCGGTTTTCACCTTCGACTGGTTGTCCTCTGGGGCATGATAGATATCATGATCCAAGGTGTCCTCGACGAGGACATAGGGAGGGTATTCGGTTTCTTTTAATAAGTTCAACCTTGACCATATTGAGCAGGGTTCCTCCCAAGGTCCGGCCGGTCCTTAGATCCTTTGTTGTTTCCTTGTGTAGTCACTGGCGATCGGTCTTCTAGTAACTCTTCGGTCTTTTACTCAATCTTTGCTTGAACATCTTCATCTTCTTGGGACTCGCGGTGATATCATGCGTCTTCCAAAGATCCGGAAACGCGCACCATTCTGATGGAGTGGGTTTTCAAAACGGCGTAATGAGACCCCAAGCCACTCACTGTACTGGACTGCCGACTATCGGAGGGGGAAGAGAACCCGCAGCGCGCTTGGAAACTCGAGGTACGAAGTACAGGCTATTCCATGTGGTACATCTGCCCAAGCGCAAGAGGGAGAGAGTTCCCCGACCGACCTAGTGCCGCGTTAGAGACGGACGAAATAGATCGCGTCGACTTCGATGAATGCCTGTTACCGGAGGACAGTTG